TGAAAACTGAAATATTTCAGATCGAAACTCCGCGAAAAACATCATGACAGGATTCCGAATTTGAAACAGTCTCATAAGTCGAGAAAGATTCGATATTTTCATCCTAGTATATTTAGTTCTTATTAACCGAGCGGGAGGTCTGTATGGGAGAATCTTGACCGAGGTCGCCAGTACAGACCGAACGCAGTGAGGTCTGTACCAGCGACCGAGGTCAAGATTCTCCCATACAGACCGACCTAGCTCGGTTAATAAGATGTTTATATGGCTGTGTCTTATATGCCAATTTTTTATATTCTTTGTACCTTTTTTTCTAGACCGGTCTAGGTGCCGGTCTAGATGGGAAAATCTAGACCGCTTTCAATATTGATTTCAGCCAATCAAATTCATGAATTCGGTAGTTACCAGTCCTTGTAAGACACAGCCATATAATAATAAGCATTATTGACTAAGAGTGAGGTCAAGATAGCTAGATATTGGTCAAGTTCTTTTGTTTTGAATTTTTTTTTTGTGGGCAATCCCAAGTGGCCCACCTTGCTCACTCGGATAACTTATCAGAACACAAGACTGGTTTCATCTTGCCTGTGGGCACTGCCAGCAATATCGTAAACCAAGTTAGTGACCAGAGGACAGGCATCTTAAAAGGTTTTTTATTCTATAAATCATAATTGTATTAGGCAATTAATTCAAGATATTATTCTATAGAGAGGGCCATCCGTGATTAACCTCTAAGTACTCTGTTACCTTATATGCCCTCTCTCTTTCCTTTGGCTGAGCCGCCTGGCCAGCTTACTTATTCTTGTTTGCTTCAAACCACTGAAAAAAATTGGTAAAACTTAGTGTCTATCTAAATTGCAAATTGTTTTAATGTTCATTTTTGCTCTGTCACCTGAAAAATACCAATCTCAATGTAATAATAGTCACAAGTACAACCTAGAAAAACCAATCTTGTAATAATAGTCACAAGTACCACCTATAGAGACCTAAATAGAAGCCAAAAAAAAATAAAAGCCATATTTAAGACAAGATATTACCTTTGCTTCTTTTCCATAGGAGGAGTTACAGCTTCCTCTTCCTTACCCTGACAGTTAGAGAGAATAATTTATTCAATCACCTTTCTGCCACCTCTAATTTTACCCTGATTTGCTTTATTGACTATTTCATTTCTGCATTGCAGTTTAATTTTAGCTGTGTTTTAATTCCATCAGGCTGTATCAAGAGATCCTTAAACGTCTTTAACTGATTGGATTTTCAATAAATAAGATTTATGCAGAGGTTACAGAAGTTATTAAGACTGGTTAAAGACCAAAACTGAAAGTGAAACATTTTGTAGTAGCTACCTGTGTACGACAAACTGTCACTTGTTTTGAGTCTGCATCCTTGGTGTGCAGTTAAAATGCTCATTTAAGAAGTAATGGAATTTGTATAAAATAACTTGTGGATCCACTACATTTGACTCCATAAATCAACAAGCCAAGAATAAAATATTGTTCTTGGCCTATAATAGTTTATTATTTCAATAATGCTTGGCATTATTCCTACCAGTGTGTGAAGTGTTTGAAGATGTACATCTGTTGAATAGTACAAGCCTCCTGACGTGTAACCAAATGGTACTCCATCAGTACTTCCACAAGCTATTCCACTGTCTTCATCCTCCTCTAGACTCCATGCTGCTGCTACAGTAACAAAACACAAAAGAAAAATTCTACCAATGCCTCACTTCAACTGAAATGGAAATTATGTTTATAATGTGGCCAACTCTGTCTTTAGAAAATAAACCCAGCAAATTTACCAGCAAATTCTAAGCCAGCCAATCTAGCCAGCAAATTTAGCCAGCAAATTTGGCCAGCAAATTTAGCCGGCAAATTTGGCCGGCAAATTTGGCCGGCAAATTTGGCCGGCAAATTTGGCCGGCAAATTTGGCCGGCAAATTTAGCCGGCAAATTTAGGCGGCAAATTTAGATGCTGAATTAATTAAGCAACCAAATTTAGCAGGCAAATTTAGGTGGCAAATTTAGCTATTAAATGTAGCCACCAATCTAGCTACCAAATTTAGCCGCCAAATTTAGCCACCCTAATTAGCCCCCAAATAATTAGCCACAAAATTTGGCCTCAAACTAGAGTTGCTCTCAGCTATGCCTCGAGCAACTCTTACGCATCTTTTGTGCTCTCTAAACTTTCTGTAAGCTTCATATCTTGATGAATGCACACTGACATATGAACCAATTGCTAAATAGATATATATTTTTTCCTTAGCTAAGATAAATATAATAAATAAATTAAGAACAGATATATTAACATTATTTAAAACATTGTGTTGTAATGGTCAAATAAGTGTTTGTGGTTGAAAATTATCTAGACATGTACTAACAATATGCACTGATAATGCTATTTAATATGTACTGAAACAGTGTACAGCGTCCAAGATACACTCTGATTGGCTATTAAATCTCCAAATATCCCTTACAATTCACCTCTGAGCAACTTGTGCAGGATTTGGATCCAAATAATTATATTGTACTTGCAGCAGGAATAGATAGGTTAATTCATCTTTTTGTGCTTTATTAATTATCTCCTTCTTTCAGTATACAACTGTTTGCAGAAAGTATATGGGAAAAAAGGACAAAGTGCATGCAACAATCTTGAAAGCTACTCTGGGTACACCATAATTATACCATATCATGCAATCTCTTACCCTTACATAACACAAGCAACATAACAAAATATATTCTGCTTCACTTTTATGAGTAAAGATTATGATTAATTACCTCTGGGAGATAATGGAAACTTCAGCTTGAGAGGTGCCTTAGAGAAATTCCTGTAGTCTTTTAATGCTAGAGATTTGCCTGTATTCTCCGAGACAGAAGTAACAGCTACTTTCCTTGAAATGGAGGTCTGGTTACTGTTGACTGGGCTGCGCAATGGATGTGGCTTCTGGAGCCTAGGAAGACGAGATATCTATTTAATGGCTTGCCTTTAGAGCAATTCTCATTCCAGCACTTGCACTTATATTCTGAGTACATGATCCAACAATAGTCAAATGGAGTTAGATCCCACATTTTCAGAAGACATTTTGATGTCCCAGACAAGAAATCATAAATAAAGATCTGGCTAAGATCCTTTCAACATTTCCATGTAGATTTTAAAAAATTAAAGAGTTATTCTACATTTAGATTCATAGCAGGATGCTGATTTAGCCCCTCTCAATGTGTCAGAGTGGAGATTTTGTACATAAAGTCTGTGCTGATCACTAAAATCCATCTCAAAATATTAGATGTATATGAAATAATTAACTGACAATGAAAAACACTGATAGAGACACTGGTGCTAAGCTGTCCCCATAATAAGTGAACATCCTTCACAAAGCAGACATCAACCAAAGTCTCAGTGTTTCCTTCTAGATTTACGGTGAGACACAGACAATAATACATAGGTACTCATAGATATGAAATTTATCTTTGAGTCCAACTCAATCTCCCACTTATGAGATACCTAATTAAATACTCAAAGAGAAATTTGATATCTACAAGCAACCATGTATTACTTTGTTTATTATATAAACACCTTTGACCTTCACTAGCAAGAAAATCCAACAAACTACCTTGGATTGAGAATGATTGGTGAATGCTACGCCATTCATTGATTAACCTGAGAGAGTGACGTGAAAGGCAGGTGACCTGTCAGCACCTGATTGGCAATATCAAACACGTAGTAAAAAAAAGTTTGTAATTTACAAGCATGTAGTTACACTGAGCTTTTCTTAAGGCTGGAAGTCCTGGTAAAACACTAAATTATTTTCAATGAACATCCCACTAAGGAGACATGGATATAAAAACTAGGTCCTTTTTGAACCAAAGCCAGCACTCTGAGAAGATCAAGTATCGGTTATATAATTGTTTGAATAAACTATATACATTAAAAATTGCATCCATTTAAGCTAACTTCACACAATAGAGTCAAATAAATGCATAGGGCATGTCAAACAACTAAGTGCAACACCTTGATTGTCTCCAAAAATATTTTCAATTAATAATATCTTTTTGGAAATCAACTACAACAGAGCTTTCTTAAGAAAAAAAAAAGGCTTAGAACATTTCATTTTCTAATTAAAAGCTGTCAATTACAACAAAAGCTTAATTGAACAGACTAAACACAATCATGGGTTTTCTTGGTGTCTCCCTGAATCATGTTTTTCTCTACATTACTTTCACAAACATGAATAATGTTAACAAGGAGAAAAGTAAAGAGTCTTAATTACAATGATGCAAATAAATTTTAATGTTTCAATAAGTAATTGGTGTCAATTCCTCACATCTTACAATTGATGAATATGCTTTTCTGTTGTTCATTGAGCCAAGTAATCTTCACTTTATAAATTTTCTCAATCACTGACTCAATATTTCCTACAAACTATGTATATTCATTCAAATAAAAACTACAGGAATACAGTTGAAAATTGTGTAAAAATCTGAAGAGATAAAACATCAGGAAAACTCATGACAGATCATTTAAAATTTGACAAAAAGCAGACTTGATTACAGAGTTGCAAGGCATGAAGGCATTCATCCAATTAAAAATTACTTTTCCATTCAATTCCCAATTTCATTCTATTACAGGCATAGCCAATCTTGAGTTTGAATCTGAGTAAGAACGTGCCTTCTTTGATTTATTTTCCATCTCTGGATAAAGCAAATAAATAATTTGTAATTAAAAAATTTTGCCCTTTCTTTGTATAAGAGACCTCGTCAAAATATAGTTCTCTCTCTCTGATTGTAACACATTTTCAGTAATACCAATAAAAATCTTCCTTTCGAAGGTACCAAGGTTCAAGCGTTCGTCATTAAGGAATCATTAAAATTTAATTATTCAACCGTACTTTTATGACTCACTGATAGCTTACCCATGCCAAAAAACATTCGGTGCAAATTTTTGGGGAACAACCGGTGGCGATACACATCGTTCCAATATCGCCTGGAGACATTTTATTAATGGGCCACTTTTCCAGCTTAATCTCGCTCTGAAATAAATTTGACTAATTACCATGACAGCAAATAGTACTTACGAACTGCGAGCTTCGTCGCAAAGAAATTTGCCGTCAAATCCGTTGATTAAAACCCCGCTACGCCTTTCCTCTATCCTGTGTTAACAGAACGACAAAATACCGCTATCAAAGCCTGACTTCAATAAACAAAACATCAGTATTGAATAGACATGGTCGGGGTCAAATTGCGGACAAGTTTATCAACAAAACAAGCCGAAACAAACACATCACTTGCCTGAGCAGTCCGCTAAGGTCTTGCTGTTCTACCGGCGATTCGTCGAGCTCCCCAAACGGGACGAGGAATGCATCAGTTGTGCTCGAGGTACATTCAGTTGTTTCCTTTGATCGAAAATTCACTCCTAAGCTCTCTTTGGTCTCTTCAGACATACTCACTTTACAATTCAGCCATAAAACCGCAAATCTCAACTACTGAACGTTTTCGGTGAGAACCATTCGCCAACAAGGTACTCGACGATAGAAAATGTACAGTTGATTGGAAGGCGCTCGAATTTCGTCCCTCATTCATGCCGTAAGTACCCCCACAAATACACAGACATGTACGCTTTTGAAGATACAATTGTAGCGTGAATATCCACTCATCAAAGGCTGCAAAGAAAAATACTGCTTTTGTACATGAAGTTCACGCACATTCTAGCTGATTGATAGAGGTACAACAAAACAACGCGCTTTCTGATCCGTTCAGTGGTATTGCGTGATAATCGCTGTGGAAATAACTGGTGCTCTATTACAAAACGATCACCTCCAGAATAAAGGCAGTCCTTTATCATCCGCCAAGAAGTCGCTTCACAAGAAATCCTCGAATAAATTTTACATTAACGACGAGGCAGATTGTTGTTTGAAGATTTTTTAGTTTTGCCTGGGAAAGACTGGGGAGAGAAGAATAGGTTCCAGGATTACTCGATTAGCAACTCATTTGGAGGCAATCAGGCGATAAGGCGCGAAAATTAAGGAATAAAAGAAAAAACAAACAAACAAAAAAATAACGATAGTTAATCCATATACAGTAACAAATATTGTTTGAAATGAGGATATCTTAAAATTTTGAATGGCTAACCAAACCTATAATTAGGGGACATTACTCTCAACGAAGAAAAAATTCCAGTTTCTTTACAGACATTTAATATGCACACAGGAAATTGTACTTTCAAAATGATGTCATTGTATTGCCATATCATAGTGTACTTAGGAAATGACGTATTTGGACTAACATTTGAGGACAAGGTTGTAATATAATATATATAGTCTACATTGCAAATATGACAATTTGTGTTTTCAATTATATATTTTAACAGTGTCAGCCATAATGAGTAAGCCCTCTAGCATCTAGCAAGTCAATCCAATTGACCTTGAGATCCAAACGTCAACATTTAGCTCCATCTACTATGGGTTTCTTATAATTTTAGCTCTGAGAAGTTTGTGCTGATCAAATCAAACAATATTTCTAAGTGGATATATTATCCTGTCACCTTTCTGTTTCAATGTGTGTTGACACAATAGTTAGAAGTTCCTCTTTAATCACTCTTGGGAACGAAAGAGCTAAGTGATCCTAAATAGGACTGTCCTTCGGCAGCTTGTAAAGGTTTCCAAAGGGCTCCTGTGTAAGTTCAGTTATACTGATTGATGTTATATTGCAGCAGCCTGAGTTCAGTGCAAACTGACATGACTCATGATCAAGGATGATCAAAAAAAAAATGAAAAAAAAAAAAATGGAAGGCTGTGTGTGATCAGAGTCCACCCTACATCTAAATCAGAGTCCTAATGAAGGTGGTACCATTCACAGTTGAAAGCTAAAAATAATGACTGATGATCAAATTTAAGGCATTTTTGACATTTCATGAATGGGGTTTTTGGAACAATACATGGAGTGTTCGCAAGGAAATTGTTATTGGATAACAACCATTCACACTATAATCAATATATCTCTTTTCAATGTGAAACATGTTTCAAGTGTAAGTTAAAATATGTCTTTTACAATGATAAAGTCACTAATTAAACTGGTATTAATATTCAACATTTATCCAACAACATCTAGACACTAGGTGGCTAATAATCCCCAGGGACTACAAAGGGGACAATGTCATAGAAAAAAAACTCAATCCTCCGCTTTTGTAATCATGCCCCTCACAATAATAAGACAGTTACCTTTGTGTACTTGACTGTGTCGGAGAGCTGGTGGGAAAATATTTGGCTTGAGGTCATGACATACTGAGCAAGGGCAACAGGGTCCATGTGTCATGACTAAAAGCCAAATATTTCCCCAACTGTCCCAACCAAATTCAGTCAATAGGCATGACCAGTAAAAGCTGAAAATTATGAACTTTTTTTTTCAAAGTAGATAGGATGTACATGTACTCAAAAGAAAGGAGCACATTGGACAACGATAGAGAAGATTCTATAATAAAAACTTTTGCTTTTTGTGCTCTAAGTCAGAACAAGAAACTGATAATTCATTGAGAAGCGCAACTCATTTTCTCTTTTGCGTTATTTCAAGTTGAAGTCCACATTTCAATTTACATTTTCAGAAAATGCAAAAGAGCTGTGTGAGTGCAAGGCCTGACAACTTTTTCAGGACCAGCTCATGCTAGCCTGTTCAGCCCTACACACATCAGCTTTCATTATGGTTTTCTATGGAATTGCGTGCACAGTGCCAGATGGGTTAAATAATGATATAGCATATTAGACAACACTGGTAGCAAAAACTACACCACAAATAATACTTAATACTATCCACAAAAACTAAAATTAAGTCTTAATTTTTAAGTATACAGTGGAGTTAAAGAGAAAATAAAATTACCATGAATATTAAGTCTTTGACACCCTTTGCATGGAATTTCTTTTAAAAATAAACAGCTGATACAGATTTGATTTTATAAAATATTACAGTTTTTAAAAATCAATCTTGTGAGAATCTCTTCACATATTAAAAAATAATATATATTTGCTAAAGTTCAGGTACAGTGTAGTTACCACTTCACATCACTGGCATGAGCTGAAATGAAAAAGAGAGGGACATAGGATATAATTTACACCCTTCAGCATCAAACAATGTTAATCAAAAATCATTCACTGAGCTTAGTCATCGGAGAAGCAAAAATTAAAATGAAAGCATGTGTTGAACTTCAGTTTCCAAAAACTTACTAAAAAGCTTTTGGTCAAGAACATCATTTTTTTAACACCATTAATTCAAACCATAAATTTTGTTTTATGTGCCCCACGGGAACAAAACTATTAGTAATGATAATTCTTTCAAAGCATATTTCCACATTTACCTGTTAATTGCAAATTCCACGAGTTTTTCATTGTTAGTTTCAAACATATGTTTAGTTTCAACTCAATCCTCACAATTTCCATGTTCTAAATTGCTTAGAATGAATAGACATGCTCTTAAAGCATACTTATATTTTGGTAGGTATGGTCCTTAGAAAATAATTTCACTATTTTAAAGAGACTTAGTGTTGTAGGACATCGCGAACTATTCATAGATTTAATACGCTTAACTATGAGCTATTCAAAATTAATTATACATGTCCACTTAGACGGAATCAGTTGAATTAAACTGAATTTATTTGAAGAAATGAAGTGTGATCTAATTAATTATACAATTACCGTGGTAGACTTCCTAGTCATCTTCATCGTCATCTTCGGCAATGAATATACTCCACTCGTCTAAAAACTCGGCCAAGTTTCTTCCCAGCCGTCCACCAAAGTAAATCCCAGGAATCATCACAATCATTACCTTTGTAATTCCGATACTTGTGGAGGTCGGTTCTTGTTTAATGTGGCTCGAAAGTGATGCAGTATTGGTTAATTGTAGTGATTCAAAGCGCAAAATAAGACGCGCCTGAGAGAGAGTTCGTCTTCTAAGAAAAGAAAACATGATTTTCACTTTATATTGATTCACGTTGTGTTAACTTCAAGATTGATATGGTGCTCTGTCGAAACACTTTATATCTTTGCACAGCTGTTTTTGCGTGATCAGGCAGGTGTCACCTTGTGGAGGTTCACTGATTCTTCCCAAGAACTGACATGACACGACAAGGGCTCGGTTTTTGCAGTTTCTCTCCACCGCAGAGCTTTAAAGGTTGCCAAAGTAATTGACCGCAATCCCAACTATTCCCATGTTGTCGAGGTGCTGATACACGCAAGATTAACATTTCCCGAATATTTATGACAACTTCCGTCATCCTTCGTGACCTTTCGCTGATATCCGATTGCAAAGTTCCCGAAGAGCTCTGCGAACTGTGATTACTCGGAGTCGTGTCGTGTGAAATCTTCTGTTACCATTTTCCCTATTTCATCAGATTTTCTTTATTTAGTGTAGAGTCATTGGATTTTGTTCTTATAATAGTTCTACTCATCTATTTATCTTTCTTTCTCCGCAAGTGAAATTTTAAAAATGTTTCGTTTTTTCCGTATTATTTAGATTCAGAAAATGTCGAACTGATTGGTGTTCCTTGTGGATTTTGTTTCGCCATTTCGTTCAACGTTGTTTCGTTTTCTGTCATAATTTTGTCGGTATCCTAATGTCTTGTATTCACTACAAGTTTCGAAGTGCTTTAGAATATGATACAATTACATTCGACGGACTTTCTATCTCTCTTGCCGACCTCAAACAGTCGATTATTACTCAGAAAAAGTTCGGAAAGAACAGTGACTTTGACTTGGAGGTTACAAATGCCCAGACGAAAGAAGGTGAGCTTTTATTTTGACGTGGTGTCTAGGTTTGTTACGAATTACTTCTGTATTAAAGTGATATTTGAAGTTTAGTCGAATGAACGTTTTTCTTTGTTGTTTTATTCCGTAATTAATTCACGATGGTTTCCTCAACTGAACGTAAGTTCAAACTCATGGGATCAAACAGTTCAGAATTTCGAGATGAAGGATTACTTGCTTTCGCTTGAGATTACACAATCATTTGATCAATCTTTCATTTAAGTAATCCTTGATTAAAGAAAATTCCTTTTCACCAACCCTCACTTATAGCTAACTTAAAAAAGCATAGCAGAATGATATGTTTTAGAATTTTTTTAACCTGTAAGAGCAGGCAAAAACATGCTGAAATCTGGCCCAAGTTTGTTTTATGTTTCAATCAATTATGTTCACGCTTTACTATTTGTCTTTAACATATTAACAACAAGTAAAACATTTTTCCTAGCGATTGATACTAAGTTTTTGCTTTCTCGTATTACAAACATTAATGTCACATGAATAGGCCAATCTTACATTAAGTAACTCTTTTTAACTTTTACGGTAGAATACAAAGATGAGATGACAATGATACCAAAGAATTCCTCGGTGGTTGTTCGTCGTATTCCAGTTGGGCCAAAAAGCAAAGCTCAACTGGCAGCGTAAGTGCAGAATTTTTTGTCAAACATTGTTAGATTGTGTCTAGAGTATGCATGGTGACCATTTTCCATTTTGTGAAATATCCCTAGTTGAGGTACATACCTAACATTATCTGCAATTTGTTTGGTTCATCATGTTAAGTTGTTAAGAAAGAAAAACCACAAATCTACTCTAAGTAGGGGTTTCAATAAAAGCCAACTACCAGTGATCTAAAGCTGCATATAGACAACCTCTTACTGCCATTTCTTTATTAGCCCACAAACAAGATATTGTGTTTACATTTTACAGTCGCTCTGGAAAAAGTTATTGTTGTTTAAAGTCTAGTGAACACGCTTCTTATATTTTTCCTCAAGGATTTGTCTGGACTCTCAAAAACTGTCTTTCAATGAAAGACAGTATAGATTGCCAGCAGAGCCTTTTGGTTACATGTGTGATGCTAAAACTTATGATCATGCATCATTCTTTTTTATTACTTTTTTGGATTTTTTTTTTGTTTCCGACTGTGAGTTAAGACATTTTACACTAGTTTGCTAAGGTTCTGGAGAAGAAATGTTTGTTTTAAAAAAGCCAAATAGAAATATATGTTTGGCTTTCCATCTTTTAGATAGTTTGGTTTGATGTGTATTGTCTGAAGCTGGCATCTCTTTCTTAAAATACCAATTTTGCCTTTCAGGGATAGGGCATCTCCTTTTTCAAGTGGAGAGCAGAAAACAGTATGTACATGGTTGAAGAATACTTGTAATCAAATCAATACTGTAGTTTTGTAAGATATTTGTAATAGCTAGAAGCATTTACTGATGGGTTCCCTTCTGTCATTTGTAATCTTGATTTCTGAGATAGTTTATTGAAAGGAATACGGTTCTGTTTAGCATCACTGGATAGAAAAACTTCATAACGGGGATCTTTGTTGTCTGGGGTGGGAATGGATTGTAAAACTTTGCATGTTTATCTTCAGAGCTAATACCTTTGTTGAATTAAATTCAGTGAAAATAATTTGTGGTACAAAGGATAAATGGCTTGCATCATATAATTAGAATTCTTAATAATATCATGGGGAATCAGTACAATCTTTCCGAAAGTTTGAAACAACTTTCCAGTTGACTGTGACATGTAGTATAATGATGCAAAGTTCAATACTTGAATTTTTTGGTTGTCTCCAGCATGGAAATTCAAGGTTAATGTACAGTTTCTTAAGTGGGAACAATTATTTTCAGTCTTGGGATAATTTTGTCCTTATTTACAATAGAGATGTACAGAGGAGCTGTATAATTAAGATGCTTTCACATGTAAGGGCATTTTAAGTCACAGCACATTGCTTAAAGCCAAATTTCTTATTTCCCATATTACTCTAAGGGTAGCAGCACATGTTATTTATTTAGATGTTAACAGGTTTATTTGGTCAACTCTCAACAAATCGAACCTTCCTAGTATCAGTAAATCAATGTAATGGGAGTTGTGAACAAAATAAATGACTGGGTGTAAAAATAAAAGTGAGATATACTTATTGCATTTCTACAATGGCAGGCCTTCTTGACCTCGCTCTTGGCTGAAAAATTCTTTTTCTTTTATAAATGTAGTCAAGGTCAGAAAGGTTAATTTACATGATTGTAAAAGAGTGGCAGTATGGCTAGTCATTTATGAAAAAGGCCTATTCTGAATATTCAAATTTAATATAGCATCAATCGTAAAGAAATGGAGAGAAAACAAATATTTTTTTATGAAAAAAGTATATAAACTATAATGCTGTCTGAAGATAGATTGTAGTAAATGTCTGTCAGAAATCCAGAAAAAAAATCAAAGGTTAAGCAGTAGAGGTTCAATTTATTGGGAGTTGACTGTAGTTCTGAGCAATTTTGTAATTTAAAATTCGCATTTCCAACAATCCTAAACAAGAGAGGAAATGATAGCTCAACAAATGTGCTTATTAAATGAATGCATCAGTTAATGCCATGTGAGCCCACTAGCATGCATAGAATCATAGGTAATAGATTTTTTCAAAATATGAAGAAGTGACCTTAAATTTTCTTATTTTCAAATGGAGTTAACCTTGAGTAAGTTTTTTGAAAACATTTGTTTAGTATTTACTGGAACATAAAATGTAATATCAAAAGCATTTCATGTACTAAATACTTTTCCTCTCCTTTAGCTTTTCATTGGCTACATTGGATTATTATTTTGATATTTCCACACTCTAAGGTGCTTTATTTCAATACACCCATGAGTGTAGATGTAGCTGAGGTTACAGGTAGAAATTGAATGGACAATTCATGAACACTTCAGTATTTATCAGAACTGTACATGTTACCAGTTTTTCTGGGCAAGAAATATTAAGTACTTAAATTCTTGCCACCTGTCATAAGACTGCCATGAATATGGAAGACATACGCTTCAAGGATAGTTCGTTGCAATAAATGCCTTTGTTGGATATTTGCTCCCTTGATTATCTGGGGCACTTTATTTGATCTTCACTAATGGTGTGTGGAAGCTCCTAAAATGTCCAGCGGATTACAACAAAGGAACTGCAACTCTCCTGCCCTTGGCAATATTTTTCTCTAGCACCGGAGTATTACAGGTTCTAGAGGTCAAAATTGGATTCCAAGTAAGCCATTAATCTGGAAAATATAGGATAACAACAATTCATTGCAGTATCACAGGATTTATACTATTCCTGTTGCGAGGACAATGACAACAAAGCTGAGCTAACATTGATGCTATTATACAGCCTATTACTAGGGCAGAATTATATGGTTTTTAGTTACTTCAAGCTTTCTTCCCCATGCTGTCGCTGTGTTGTGAAAAGGAGTAAAGCTGTCTATGGGGTCACTACTGAAGGAGGTCAGGTAAAGACTGTGTTCTTCAGCATGAGGTACTGCTAGAAAACAAAACATTAATTCAGGACAAAAGTAACTCAATCCAGCAAGAGAAGAAACCATTTGTGGGAATCTTCTTTGGTGTGCCCACTTTATGTTTCCCTGGAAAAGGGAAAATGATGTCAAAACCTTACAGTGTTGGAGTTATGATATCAATTCTTCAGTTATATCTACAAGTACTGGAAAAGTTCTGTGCCTATAAAAATGGTGGAAGTTACCTGCTTAAGATGCAATGTGACCAAGAGTGGTTGGCTTTTTTTTGAAGCACGTGTGAATTGAATACGCTGAATATGCTGAATATTCATTACAGCCCACACTAAGAGTAATACAAGAAGGGGAAGCATTATTCAAATTGCTCTTTAGCAAAGTGATGATCCCTGTCAAAAGATCTTACTGTGCTCTAACATTACAAACTAAGGAAAGACCCATTTGGCAGCTTTGTCTTTAGTATGCATCCATTTCCAAAACCATTTCCATCAGAATTTCTAACAATTTGGCAAACTATAACCTTGAAATTTTTATATTTTCCCCAGTTTGACTCCCTCTAAAATCATAACAACGTTTGCAGGACTACCTTGTCTTGTTTTTTTTTTTAACCATTGTTACTGCTTTGAAATGAGTATGGTCTACGGGTGTGTGATATGTTCTTGTTTGAGACTGGAAGGAATAACAAACAAAATTTCCTTCCCAGGTAGCCACAGCCACTGTGCTTGCATGCATGTGCTACCTCTTTGATTTCTCAGTGATTTAAACAGTGGAAATTAGAAAATGAAGTACACTTGTGACTGACGTTTAGCAAACTCTCTATTAAAAAGTTAAACCCCTTTTCTTAAGAAATTATTTTGTTTTTAGTCATTTTTGTCACATTATGTATTGTATTTTACAATAAAAATCTGTGATCAAATATTGGAAAACATTACACGACGTTTCCAGAACTTCGTTATCAAGTGAGAATGAAATAACAAAACTAAGTTATATATAGATGAGAAAATGAATAAATTAAGAGTCGTGGAGAGTCAAACAATAAGGCTAAGCTCCCTGTTTGACTCTCAATGACTCTTAATTTATTCATTTTCTCATCTTTATATATATTTATTAGTTTTGTTATTTCATTTTCACTTGATAATGACGTTCTGGAAACATCAAAATGTTGTGTAATGTTTTCCAATATTTTATCCCAGATTTTTATAGCAAAATGTTTTAACAAATCTTTACTTATGTATTATAATCATAAAAATTATGATATTATTATCATAATTATTATAATATTATTATCATAATTATTACAACTATTATTAGTATTATTATTCTGCTGCTGAGATATATACCAGGCACAGCATACAGTCTGCACTTAAAGTGACAGCTATCTGTTTGATTTGCTGTTGCACTTTGTCACCTGATGATGATTTAACTGGGTGTTGAAGTAAAGTTTACTTCACACCCTTTTTCAGTAATGACTGAAAATTTACAGGAAGTATGAGGTTATTGATGTATTATGTACAGTCTTCCGTTGGTAGTTGTTATTGATGGTTGTTCCTTTTCAACTTTATTCATGAAGAGTGGTTTCCAAGATTACCAAGTTGTAAAATCCAACAAGTTGAGCAAGGTAAACTATTACATAACTAGAAAGATTGTGTTGTAAAATTTAATCCCCAAAGTGGTTCTTAACTAGTGACTTTTATAATTATGGACTGAATCCTAGTAGAGTGTGTTTTTCATATATATGACAATTAACCACCATGTTGGAAATGTTTGTAATTATAATCAATTTTTATTTGTCAGCTAGTGTTACTCTGGGCTGCACCTCAAGCAACTTTTAGGGATCTTTAGTTCTTTCCAAATTTTCTGCTTGCTTTATATATCAATTATCACATGCCTACTCATGAAGCAATTGTTAAGTTCTTCAAATCACAGGATTTAAAGGAGAACCCTCTTTGTTGTAGATAGTAGGGACTTTTGGCTCCAATGGTTATGAGGATGGCTATGGCAACCTAGGTTATGAAGGGACTGGAGATACTAGGCTCTATCTGTGTGAAAATCCTTCAAAAATGAAACTAGTGTTAATAGCAATAACAATGCATGACTAGTGTGTGAAACAAGCTGAACAAGACAGATAAACTAGGCAGAAAATGGCTCTAAAGGAAGCTAAAGAGCAGTAATGCTATGCATTTGATGATGGCCTAATTTCAGATGAGAAGTGTTTACTCTTGTATGATGTGAACAGGTCAACTAATTTAAATTTTCCATTCAAGTAGTACCCACTTTTTGATCTAGGCTACATGCAAAACAACCAGTGTTTGGCCAAGTTTAGGGTCCATAAAAATGACCCATCTGTTCTGGCAGAGGGTTTAGGGATCCCAGATCAGTTTATATTGGAACTAAGAAGTGTTGTCTCTGTGTCCACAAGTTTCAGAAGAGATATTTTGAGCTTAATCTTTTAAATCTTTGGTGAATGAAAATAAACATAGCAGTGGAGAAATTCTTCATGAACGAAAAGCTTTCTTTCAAACATTGGGAAGTAGTTAAGGCAAAGATTGTTAACATTCAATATCAAATGGGAACTGAAAAGAAAAGCGAAACGATGTAAACAAACTTACTTGGAATGCTCTTTGACTGACATATGTAACAGATGAACTGTAGGAGGACTGGACACGAACTGGTCGAGCAGAGTCTCGGCGATAAAACGTTTAAAATGCATGTTCAGATGAACTTTTAAACAGTGTGATGTGCGATAACTGGTGGTGGTTACGCTACCCTTTTAAGCAGGATTGCTGCACAACTTAAAGGTGGTTTTTCGCTGTTACACATATTTTAATCAATGCCTGTGGAAAAAAAAAACTGTACACAAGGCACAGATATACCAATTCTTACGAAAACTGGCCTAGAAATAGGAATGAAGCTAGAAGAATTCACTTTTCTCAATAATGAGGCAAAAAGTCGCTTGAAATGTTAAAAACCTCACCCAAACCTCCTGTAGTGTGTACTACTTCAAGCTAATAAAGGCTGTTAGTTTCTAAAGAAACTGTTTGGGGCTGCGTCGGTGGGGGTAACGAAATAATTTGGATATATCAACAAAGTTGAATTGGTAAATTGGCCACCGTAATGATTACAAAAGCTGCTGTTTCGAGCATTAGCCCTTCGTCGGAGCAAATAGAGGAATTCTGGGTTGTGTGTGCTTTTAAAGGCAGAAAATGGAGCTACGTTATTGGTGGGAACATGGCAATGAGAAAACACGAATAAATTAGTGGAATAAAAAGCGTTCGTTGATCCCTGTGGGATTTAGACTGCCGGTTTGAAAGATGAGCTTTTGTTCAAGAGTTTTATGGCTTTCCGTGCTACCTAAGTGTAAGGAAAGACCGCAGATTGCCATATGTTGCTTAGAATGATGAGGTAAATTAAAATGTCTAGCGACTGGTTTCAATGTGTCCTTGTCATTCCTTTCCACATCGTGAAGGTGTTCTTGGAATAGATCACCTAGTCTTCTGCCTGTTTCGCCAATGTTTCGTTGAGTAGTACTTCAAACTACTCTGATTGCCGTACTATATTAGAGCGCTATGGCAGCAAGAAAATGAGTGCATCATTTGAGTTCGTGCAAATGTCTTAATTCATTTCTGGTTCTCGTAGCCATCCACAAAGCCATTGGTGCTAAAAGTCCCCAGTAAAGAAATATAAGGAAGAACAAAAAAATACCTAGAACAACCCAGGATGGTCAAAATGGCTAAATCTTCCTTGTGTAATCTTGTGTAACCTCCCTTGACAAACCACAATGAAAATTATTTCTTGGATATTGAACAAGGCTTTAAGGACAACATTGTGCTAATACTAGCACAGAATGGTAGACCTATCTGAAGGAACCAATAATGAATATTTGACAGACAAACCACTTGTTTACACGACTTAAAAGTAAGGTTGGCATGCAAGGTGATATGAAGCAGGTACATATTGGAGTCATAGTTTTCCTATACTGATATCTGTGGGCTTATTGTAAATGTTTTGTTGCAAACAGAATTAAATCCCCACAGCCATGCGATCAAAATTCTGGCAGGAATCCTCTGTTTTAACTAAGAGCTTTGTTTACTTAAGCTAGGGTACTTATGTTGTATTAGGTACAAACTAGGTTGTGTGTCTTTATCATGTCCCAATTTATTCTCAAAAGTTGTAAGACAAACAAGGAAACAGAACTGCAGCAATGATTCTCTGAACCCATTGTTCTGGGCACCCTCATTTCTCTGCAGCTTTCAAGTGTCTCCTGACTAAACATGACTTCACCATAGGGTTTTTGAGTATTTGCCATACAATGATCAGCAAAAGACAATTTTAGGGGCTTGCTTTTACTGTCCATGACACACAATTTGGTGAACATTTGACTTCAGAAAGCCAGACTGATATAGATACCACATAGGAACAGACTAAGAACAAACTCGTAAATTTAAGTGATACGTAAATTTGAAAAATACCATGTCTGTCATACTATAGATGCTAAAATTGTATTTCATGAAGAAACCCCAAAAATTTGTCTTAGGAGCAATCATATTTTTCTGATACCAAAAGTGAGGATATTAAGATAAAACTTCTTCAGAGAAAGACATCTTAAAACCTTGGCAGTTGCAATAAAGTTTTTTGGTCCAACCAGTACCTTGAAATGTAATGTAGTGAGTTATTGTTGCTGGTTTGTGGCTAGGGCAATGAGATGCAGAAGCCTCTCTTGAATTATCTGTCTTTATGATGCTACATTCAGCAGATTAAAGTATTGTTTTTGCTAGTCACTTCAAGTAGATGTTTGTGCAACAGGTATAATTACAAGAGCAAAACATACAACATTTTATTACCTTCTCTGTATCATTGACAAAGAAAGAAATAGAACACTTGAATGCAGCTGTTTGGAACACTATAAACTGTTGGGCGTGCAAACATTGTTTCTCATGGAGCCATTTTACACCTTTTTGCTAAGATATTGAACTAAGGTTAGGGTTAAGATATCAAGATGATATTAAATTTTGCATTTTTTTTCCATTTTCAATTTTTAAAATTTCCCCAAATCTAAATGATGAAAATGTTTTTGCAACACAAGCAAATGACAGACTTGTTATTCGAAGCAGTAATATATTGATACCAAGATGGGTTGGGAAGATTATTGTGTGGTGTACAGTGTTATCATTCTCCCATAGGTGACTGACTTGGCCAATGCTGATGCATCAGAGGAAGATAAGCTGAAGGCAATGATGAAACAGTCTGGAGAGGATTGGGACCCATCACAGTACGTCAAAACAAACCACTTAGGAGTACCTTTCAATTTTTAGATCATAGTTTTAAAAAACATTTTATTCAGACCTCTGTCATGTTACAGATAATAATAATAATAATAATAACTTTTATTTCTATAGCACTCTTATCCTATGTTCAAGTCACTTTACAACACTGTGGGGGACTTTACCAGACTGCCAGTGGCAGTTTACAATCAACAAAGGCAAATTTTTTTTTTACAGATGCCCCCTTCCCCCAATTCCCAGTAAACAGGCCAGACCACATCCAACAGTAATCTCATGATGTGGGTTCTTCAACGTCCCCTGCCTAATCAAATTATCTAATCAATAGATGCAGGAGACAGGACCTACGGTTTATTCCTCCTTATCCGAGAAGATTAGAATGTCTATCCATTTCTTGATATATTAGAAAGGTAGCACATTCTCCTCGGTTATTTTAAGACCATGAGTGTTGGTCTGGCCGGGGCGTGAACCCTCGACCTCCCGCTCAACAGTCCAGCACTCTAACAAATTGATCTAACAGGGAGGCAGTTAGCTCAGATGTTCTTTACCTTCTAACATTTTTTCCTTTGTAAAGGAAATGGGAGAGAGCACTTGTTATGTAAGTTGGCCACTGTAAAGCATTTCTGATGCTGATGTTTCAAGTGATTTTGCAGTTCTCTCTAAAAAACAAATGTCAGCTTTAGAAACTCTTTACAGTGGCCAAGTTACTTTTAATTATCAGCTCAGTTGATAACCACCTCCCGGTTAGCTCAATGGATAGAGCGCTGGACTGTTGTGCGGGAGGTCAAGGGTTCAAGCCCTGGCCGGACCAACACTTGAGGTCCTAAAATAATTGAAAAGAATACGCTACCTTCCTATAACATCAAGAAATGGTTAGATATTCTAGTCTTCTCGGATAGGGATGAATAAATGGAGGTCCCGTCTCCTACAGGGTTAGGGGTAGGAGACGTTAATTTCCCACGCACGAGATTACTGTGTGATGGATGTCCTCCCCTGGGGGTGGGATGGGTGGAATTTAATGGGTGGACTATTCGCATGGATCGCATATGTTCTGTTCTAGTCCTACCCTACTGCGGTAATGCAGTGAAAATGGATTAGAAAATTAGAAAATAAAAGCAAAGTATATTGTAGTAACCCCCACTGCTGTAGCAGCACAGTTCCTTTAGAAACTTACCCCTATTATTCAAGTGTTATGAATATATCAACAAAGTTGAAATGGTAAATTGGCCACTGTTATGATTATAAAAGCTGACGTTTCTAGCATTAGCTCTTTGTCGGAGCGAATGACGAAGGGCTAACGCTCGAAACATCACCTTTTATAATCGTAATGGTGGCCAATTTACCATTTCAACTTTGTTGATATATTCATATTATTTCGTTATTTCCACCGACGCAACCCCAAACAGTTTCTTTAGAAACTATCAGCCTTTATTCAAGTGTTGTCCCCCAGTTCATCAGGTTCCACCCTAGAATACCATATTTACTCGAATAAGCGCCGCGGCGCTTATTTCATTTTTCGTGCCACAAGTGTGGCACTTATTCGAGGGCAGCGCTTATTTAAAAATTGTACCAGACAAATTAACTTTTTCTATGTTTTTATTCAACGGTACACTTTCTATCTGTCAATGTTCCTATGGACTGATATTAATTGATAGTAAATCTATAATTATGAGAGAAATTCATGTGGTGAAAAAACCCAGAGCTTTTCATGATTACCCAAGCAGAGAACTACAGTCACTTTGAACTAAAGAACATCACATTTAAAGAATATATATTGCTGATGCTGTGTTAAAATTGTTTTATAGTGTTTTTCTTGGTTATGTGGAATTCCTCGAATAAGTGCCGCATCGGGGGTGCGGCGCTTGTTCAAGGGCAGCGGTTATTAACTTTTTTAGTCCCAGGTGCAGTGCTTATTCGAGTAAATACTGTAATATAGGAACAATTGATACGTGTTCCAAGTGGCTATAGAGATAGGATATTATCAGTACAACTCCTTTTTAGCGAAGCTCTTTCTTCTACTAGTGAAATGTTTGTGTGCTCGCGTACAAGTGTCAAGATGTGATGGAATTTTTAAGCATTAAGAGTTGTGTGTATGAAAGATTGATGATGCTTTTGTCTTGTCAGAGTACTCAAGGGCTACAGGACGAGCTCAGTTTTTAATTTTAGATAATGTTGTCCTCTAATCATTCCTTCATGCAAGATTTCTAATGTAATTTTTCATTTATTTAAGACTGGAAAACAGAGAATTTGTGTCCCACATATTGCCAAGTTCATTGTTTGAACTTGATATCGTAGAGGTTGACAGTGTTATTTTGGTTCTTTGAACAGGTTTCTTAAGATGTTAAAAGAATTTAATTTCCTGTTTAATTAAACCTAGAGGTAAAAATTACATCATAGACCACTTTCATAAATGGCTGCCAGATTAATATTCTTTTCTTTTAAATTTAAATTAGCCTTTCTGGCCTTGTTCTCCAGTACAAAATTCAAAAGAATACATTATCTCAAGCAAGGCCAGAAAGGCTAATTTAAATTCAAACAAAAGAATATTAATCCGGCAGCCATTTATGAAAGTGGTCAATGTATATAACAATTTATCTCTTCCATTTTGACAGGTATGTGAAAGGGCGTCGTCCTTATGCACCAGGTGTGCCTGTGCCACAAAGTTACGTTTGTTACAGATGTGGAAAACATGGGCACTTCATAAGGAACTGTCCCACCAATGGAGTGAGTTGAAGAGAGCCAATTCCATTTTAGAATAATAAATTTCCAAAGAAAAGAAAGTTAGAAGTAATTTGTGAAAGAAATGATATCTACTTGAAATGTTTAAAATGTGGTAAAAATTTGCCTGCTTGCAAAAACCAAAGAAATTTGGGTCTCCAAGTCCATTTTTCTGGAAAATTGTGCAACAGCTCTATATTTATCTGACAAAAATGACTGTTGAGTTAGATTGGTAACATTTACAAACTCGCATCATGGCATTGGGCTTTTCAAAGATTTTTTCTTGTGTAGTCAACAGCCCCTGCTGACTTCTTTTCGAGCAATCTGATATACCATAGGAAGTTACCAATTGTAGAATAATGATGTATTCGGTTTCTTGTACAAAGTTAATGTTAGATAGACCCCTACCTGTTCTGAACACAAGCCTTGCAGGAAACAAAATAATTGTTTTAGCTGAAGCTTTGAGGGCCTCTATTTCAGCCTCTGCAAAACAGGTGTGGTGTAAGGTGTCCAGTTGTACATTTAGTGTTAGAGAAAAAATGAAAATGTCAATATCAGGCATGTCTTCCATTCCTTGTCAGATTCCTGTATGATGAGTTGTGAGTTTTCAATACAATGTTTTGTGAACCATTTCACTAGGATGCCAGATTTGATGTTCCGAAGGTGAAACGCACAACAGGCATTCCTCGAACCTTTTTAAGCACAGCAGAGGGTACATCATCACCACCTGCCAGTAGACTGTCACCATCAAATCAAGAGTAAGTCTGTAGATAAGATGAAATAAAGCTGCAGAAATTAATTTTTATTTTGAAACTTCTTAAAAGATTGAGAATTGGTCCTCTCATTCAGTGAATGGTTTGAACTCAGGGATAACAGTCAATCTTGTAGTCAGATCATGTGGGTGAATGTGGTCCTGGGAAAGACTGTTGATAGTAGTAGTGACTGATGTTCAAGTGAAGTGTTGTTGTCAGTTCAGTGGTTTAAGTCCAGTTAATGTAAACTGATTGGTTAGTTTAGCAAGATTGGTTGATAGATTGGTTGATAGATTGGTTAGTTTTGTTAATGGTTATAAGACTCAATTGGTGTGAGTCAGTCATGATTGATCAGTTTTGACCCATAGGTAATGTTAGGTTGTTCTGTTTGATTCATTTGTGGTGTTAATGTTGTTTCCATCTGATTTGTTTTAGAGATGAGTCTAAATCAAAAGGAAAAGAAAAAACTCCACAGACTGCTGGTAACAAGAAAGTTCCATCTGAGCTACGGTGTCCCTCTTGTAGCAGTTTACTAACAGATGCTGTGCTCATCCCTTGTTGTGGAACAAGTTACTGTGATGACTGTATGTAAATTCTTTTGTTCATTCAGAACTAACCACAATTTATGCTTTTATAGGCCCACAACTTATTTCATTTGTCAATTGTCAAACCCTGGTGAGAGAAATCAATTTTGGCATTGTTTCTTTAATTTCTAGTAAGCTCTCAACTTTTAACTGTGCTTTAAGTGTTAACTATGAAACTGCACCCAGAAAACATGACAAGGACATAAAGTTGCTTTCAAAGAACAATTGGAATTTTAAAAGTAAATGGAATATTAAACTGCTTTATGAAAGAAAGAAAACCCTGTTACATAGACTTAACACTTTGTAATTAAAAAGAATTTGATGCAGAAACAGTCCCTTCGCATGTAAAAAGTTGAGTTAATAGAAAATGTCGTGCAGTCATAAGTCGGGTACATGCAATGGTGTTTTTCATTTTGTGTATTTGTTACTGGTAATGTGTTTGCTATTCTCAGGCATTAGAAACTACCTTTTGGAGAATGAACAAGAATGTCCATCGTGTGGAGCAGAGAATGTCTCACCTGATTCACTGGTTATTAACAAACAGCTTAGGCAGGTGAGAACAAGAACGTCAAGTGAATTAACAATTGTGTGGCAGACAGACAGTAAGGGGAATTGCTAATTAGATTTTGGGTGTTAAAGGTTCATTGTCAGGATCCAAGTTCATTAAGATATTCTTGGTACTCTTAAGTACAGAAAACAATAGTCTGACCCTTGCTTAATGCATTTTGGTAATTTTAGTGATCTTGAAGGCAGAAAATATCAGTAATTCTCCATGAAAACATAACACCATCATAATCAGACTAAAACTCTATGGAGCCACCTCAAGAGACAAAGAGGATAGTTAGTTTTTGGGATTCTGTATAGTTTGTTTTGTGAGGTCATCTTTCAATGTACCTTTAAGTTAGTTAATCTTGTATCACTGATCACCTTAAATTTCAAAGTGCATTGCTTATATCTTCTCTTGTCATCTATGTTTTGCATAGGCTGTAAATACTTTCAAAAATGCCAGACCTGCTAGTCCTTTTGTAACTAAGTTGCCAACAAAGACTAATGAAACAACCACAGTTACCAGCAACACAGATGGTAAACAAACCACACCAGCATCCAAGGTGGAACCTGAGAGGTAAAATTTGTGCTTTGTGAGGTCTTTACACCTTTACCTTTAGGAGAGTTCTCACCCATTTTGTGTCCCCAAAAGTCTTTTAAAGGAAGCGGAAAAAAAACTTTCTTTCTAACAGTGTTAGACACACCCTCTTCACCCCTTCCATCCTGTCATTAAAACAGGCTTTTATTATGATTAATATTGTGGACCGCAATTGGTTGCAAAAGTGCTGACATGTCCCTTTTTTCTCAGCAGTAGTCAGGAAAAAGCTGTCCCAGATCCTAAATCAACTGAAGTTCAAGGTAATTCCAGAGCAGTGCTAATGAATCACGGATAAACAACGTTCAGTTAAATGTATTTGCAGTATAAAGTCAAGTTTCATTTGATACAACAATTAAAATGTTGACAGTACAGATAACAGAAGAAAAATGTACAGTGTATACTGCATAGTTTCTAGAAATGTACTTGTCTACGTCTTACTTGAGATACTCAAACTGACATATGGAGCAAGTCTCAAAATCTTTTGAGCCTCCAATGGAAAATTTTAAAGTTTTGAAGAATGAATGATAAAACTTATTTTCTTTTAGCAGCAAAACTGCCAAGTGATGCTGACAATAGGATAAAAGAAAGTTCCCCAAAGGTAAGCAAATTATACCTCTGGCTTCTAGAGGTAAATTATTGTGAAGAATTCGTGTGAATTCAAAGGTATCTGTTTCATTTTAGTGACATTAAGTATTCTATTAAGTATAAATCGCAGAACTCTTCTTAATCTTTTTCTTCAGCCCGTCAAACAAGTGTTAAGTCAGCCTCAACAAATCAGAATTCACCACCGTGATGGTCCAGCACAGCAAGGTGAAGCACAGAGCAGTTGATAGGTCCCTCTTTCTATTATGCTTCTCCCTATCCAATAACCCCCCCCCGTCTCAAGCATAGCACATTTACCAAAAACAATTTGATTGCCCCCCCCCCCTACCTCCCTCTCTATAATAGGCCTTTCCCTTCTCCACTGATCCCAGGTCTACTTAGCCACCTCTTTAATGAGCCCTGGTCATTCTTCTTCTCCTAAACAAAACTTCCATGGTGAAACTGTATAGAGCAAATTAAAAATAACATGCAGTAAATTGGACGGTAGCATTGCTATCCATCGGGCAATATAGCGTTTCGTTGCATATTATGGCTTCATTTGAAAGCTAGCTATACTGAATATTGTGGAGGTTTCAGGCAAAGAGACAATGCCACCATTGCTGCTTGAGTCACTTAAATAGGACAAACCAATGACATGGGAAGGGAATTCTGATTCATACATGTTAATCAATGATTTGATTCAGTGCTGAAAACTAAAGAAAGCACAGATGACGAAGAAAGTAGGCGGAACTTGTCGCACGCTACCTGTGATCGGATGGGTCAGATTTGTGCGAGGGACTCTGGTAACAGTGGTTGCACCGTAATGGTCTGTGAACCCAATGCCTTAGTTCTTCTAACTAAGTTGTCATCTTTGTTTGATTCAGGTGTTGGTATGAATCAAGCCAGACTACCTTTTGATCCCCGTAGAAGACTAGGCGATTTTCCCCCAAGGTAAATTACATGTACACTATGAAGTCCTTCAGAAGCAAGCCCTGTGATTTATATCCGTTTCTTTCTTCTTAGCTCCCTTAAAATTTTGCTATCACATTTTAGATTTTTTATGAGAACTTTGCGTTATTCAAAGTTACTTGAAATGTAGGCCAAGAAGAGCCTGCGGAAAACCAAGTTCAAAATGATTGCGCTATTAGAAAGTTTTCCATTCGGTGTCCCTAACTGCTCCATTAATTAATTAATTAATGTTTCATTGTTTATATCCTCCTTGCACAACTGATAGCTAAATCAAGTTTTTTTTCCTATAGTATAGGAAGTTTATTTCCATATTGAATCGCTACTTTGGTGAAATTTTTCTTGTTAAAAGAATAAGTGCTTTGGGGCTGTGCTCTTCACCATGGGGAGCACGCAAAGATCGTTTGAGCGAGGGTGCGAAGCCGAGGCCCCGTAACTCTGAATATGTCAAGGAATAAACTTTTTATTTCCCTACCCCTTTTAAGGTAAATATAGTGTGGATCTTGACATATCGATCCAGACAGCCATGTGTATTGTATTGAGACCGGCTTTTCAGAACTAGGGGTGAAAAACAGTTGTTGATGCCAGCCACATGAAGATTCGGGAATGCTAACGCTGAACACTTACGGCAGGCACCTTGTTCAAGACACTCGTGAAAAACTTGTTCAGCCTGTTTCTAGATCCTAAAACCACCCTCTGTTTGACCTGTTTAGCCTAATGGGGGAGAACCGCCGAGTGCAGAGGAAGCAGTGCCGTTTTTATTAATTTCTTTCAATACACTTGACGATTTCTTCTTGCAGGGGACCACCTCGTGTACCTGAAATACATCACAGGTTATCGGAACCCATAAGACCTCACGGACTTCCCCCGGAACATGTGCCCCGTGTACCTGCTATCCGGCCCGGTTTGGGTGGTCCACGACATCCAGGCCCACCTCCTTATCTCCCTCCGGCAATTAGAGGGATGCATGCGGCAGCACCTGCTCTTCCTCGTATGCCTCCAGTCCCTACCCTGGTTGCGGCTCCTTTGCCGCGCCATCCAGCATTCCGACCACCCGCGATGTTTGATCCACTCCATCCTGGCGACCGACCCGGGACTCTCCCGCCGGGTCACCACACGCCGCCAATGTCCGAGCGAGAGTTCTACAAAATGCAAAAGAAACTGAAATCGAGGTAAAAGAAGATTTCCTTTTTTGCCACGCTCTGTGGAAAATACTCATTAGTGGATGTACAATAACTCCAGGAGCCTAACATCGTTTGCACTCCCTGTTTTAGTCTGTATTCAAGTTTTTCTTTCCTCCTGCTTCACTGCCCTTCCTGAAAGAAAAAGATGAGAGCTGTGCCTTAGATCAGGGCTCTGATGTAAAGAAGGTAGATAAGTAATAGTGGCCGGATAGGTTATCATGAATCGATTCACGCATGTAAACCTTCAGTTCCACTAAAAACTGGGAATTAGTTGTAGTACAAATGTTTTCGATGGTATAACATTAATTGTTTGATGACTAGCCGGCAGTTTTTGCCGTTTGCCGGCTGTTATTGTCAACTTTTCTGGAAATAGATCTGTATCGGTCTTTACTCAAGACTGACTTTTCTTATTACCCCTCTTGCTCCTTACTTGAACCAGTTCTTTACGAGAGGAAAATTGATTTTTCTAGCAACCTAGCGCTCATGTATAGCCACTTCTACTCTCAGACATTAAATTGCTCATCTAATGTTGGACTTATTTTCTTTTCATAGAGGTAAGAAGAAGCGAGAGCATTCGTCAGCTAATCGTCCCAGGAAGGATCCTAGAAAAGAAGGCAGTAGTTTCGACTTTGATGACGAACTCTTAGAATACAGAGAGCTTCAGAAAAGCCGCCAACGTTTGCGTTCTCGTTCTTTGACTCCAACTCGCTCATGGTCGCGTTCGCCATCACTCAGATCACGGTCAAGGTCACGGTCTTTTTCACGCTCAAGATCGCGCTCACGTTCCCTTTCACGATCCTCTGGAAGTCCCGCTCGATCGCCCACTCCAGAGGGCTGGGACGAATCCAGGTCTCCATCGCCTACTCCGTCACATGGTCAGAGTGGTGGCGCAAATTCTGAAGATGAGAAGAAAAAGAGACATAAAAAGAGGAAGAAGGAACAGAAAAGTAAAGGACGGAAGAAACAGAAGACTTCACATAAAGATGAACATCCTGTGGAACAGAAGGCGGGAATTGATGGTGTTAAGGAAGAGGAGAAAAAGAAACTTAGAAATCAGAATGGGAAAGGTGACAAGGTTGAGGTAAAGGAGAAGACTAAGAATGTAGAAAAAGACAAAGATAAACCGAAAGAGGTAAAAACCAATAAAGAGAAAGAAAAAATAAAGAAAAAGGATAAGGACAAGAAAGTAGTTAGTGATAAGGAGGGGAAAGGAATAGAGAAAGACAGTAAGAAACAGAGTGAAAAGAAAATAGAAAAGAAAAGCAAAGAAGGAAAGGAAACAGAAAAGAAAAGCAAAGAGGGAAAGGAAACAGAAAAGAAAAGCAAAGAGGGAAAGGAAACAGGAAAGAAAAGCAAAGAGGGAAAGGAAACAGAAAAGAAAAGCAAAGAAGGAAAGGAAAAACGGAAGAAAAAAGATAAGGATAAGAAAGAGGAGTCTTCGGGTAAAAAACGTAAGAGTAAAAAGAAACACAAGAAACATAAACGGCACAAAAAGGGAAAGAATAAGGGAGAAAAAACTGGCAGTGAAGAAAAGGAGGCAGGGAATAACATCGATACTGAGGAAAATGAAAATAAGGATGAATCATCTGAGGCCGGCAACCCCGAAGGTAAAACTACCACAGATGATGAAAAAGATTATCAAGGAACCGATGGAGCTGGGAATCAGGACGAAAGTGACGAGGACAGAAGCGATAGTGATGAAGGAGAGCAAGAAGAAATGGAGGAAGATGGAAAGACTGGGAAACCGGTGCACGAGGGTGATGATGTCGACGAGAAGTCGAGTGAAAGTCATGAAGATAAGACAGAGAACGGAAGCGACGCAGATGAACAAGACCATAGAAAATCAAAGACAGGGAAGCATCAAAGAGAAGAAGAATTGCTAGAAAGTGATCAAGAGGAAGAGAAAAAGCTCAGAGGAAATGAAGAGAAGCTTGAAGGAAAGGAAAGCGATGCTGGGCAGGATCTAATGGAACAGAAGTTGCTTGAGAGTGACGACGAGAGCGACCGAGCTGAATACACTGAAGATGGTAACCACGAGGGCCAACAGAATGTTGAGAGAGTGCAAGAAGAAGAGATGGAAGAACATGATAGTGATAGAGGAAATGAGGCCAAAACTGGAAATGGTCAGGAGAGATTCTATCCAGAATTAAGTGCTGAACAATCCAAAGAGGAAGATTCAAGATTTATTGCAGAAAAACGAGAAAATGGGAGTCATCGAGTAGAACTGTGAGAGGATAAGAATAGATAGATACCTATTGACAAATGTCGCTACGGCTAAAGTAAGTAAAAGCGACAAAAACTGAAATAAGAAACTTGCAAACCTTTGCATTTTCTTAGATAAGTCGATGTCAAGCGATGTGACCTTCGTAGCCCCGAGTCTCACTTCTATTTGTGAGATTTCAATTCTACCAGTCAGGAGAATTTGATGTCAGAGCGATCTTCAGTGGTCAGCTGCCCTTGATTCTAATGAACTTGCTCGTCTTCGTTTTGATTTTTCCTGTGCCAATTCGTAAAGGGCAAATAGTACGAAGTTTGAGTCAAGATTTCACTTGCCATGTTTCGAGCAATCTTAATTATTAGGTTAACAATAAAGGAAGAAAACTGCGTTCACAAGGTGAGATGTGAAACAGGTTCAAATTGTACCAAACTGTGTAAAAAAAAACAATTTAAAAAAAAAACCAAACTCTTCAAATTCACAGTGACACTGAAAAAAATTTAAACGCTCCGTTCTCAAATAAAACTTGTAAAACACCATTGCTTCATGTTGGACATGTTGAACTGACACTTAGCTTTTCTAATAACTGTTCGTCAATTTTGTTTGAAAAGCTGTGGTAATAAAATGATACTTATTTTGTTTAACGAAGAGTGTCTCTTGATAGCCTTTCTTTTGGGGAATTATTTTGAAACATCTTTTAAAGAGAAATGGAAGTGGAGAAGGGTGTCATTTAGACTGAATCGGAACCTAAATCGAGTCGTGTTCACACAAATCCTTGATGGCATGCATAAAATATGTACTTATCGACTGAGTGGGAGGGCCGAACGGGAAAATATTTGGCTCGAGGTCATTACGTACGGACCGAACGCAGCGTGCCCCATTACCAAACTCAGTCAATAAGTATTTTATGGTATGAACGTTAAGAGTTGAACATCAACCTAAATAGGATGCGTTAGACGGGCTTACGCAGCCACACGAGCACAAAAACATTCTGCATATAGAAATTTTGCTTTTTTTTTTTTTTCAATTTAGAACAAGAAGCGCCCTGTACCTTTTTTTCATCGTTTTTGTTTCCTTCTGAGTTTTTGCAACGAAGCGACGAGAGGGCAGCACGGCCAAACGGCTTTTTCCGGACCGCCTCAACCCGTCCTGCCCTGCACTAATATTAAAATATTAGCAGTATGGGTGGTATGGGTGGGGGTTCTCTCGAATAAAATTTGTTCTTTTTCCAGTGCTTGGTACGGGCCTGTTTTGAGCGAAAAGCATTTGGCATTAGCCAGTGTGGTTGCAAACTCATTTTTTTGGATTAAATTAATTCAATTGTTAAAGTGTGTTATGAGAAATTTTAAGTCGCAAGTAAGACGATTGGCTGCGATTCCTAGCCTACCCTGGAAGGGGGAGAGCAACTTCATTTTTAAACTCACTTCGCTGTAACGTCCAGGATAACCATCGTCAAGTAGTCATATGGGGTGGGTTCTTAAATTTTAATGTTAATTTTAAGTTATCATAATTTCTAATCTATTAGGTCTTGACAGTATGTATTAGAGGCACGTACGTATTTTGAACGAGCTCCTTGACGCTACTTGGGTAAATAAAGTATTGATTGATTATATTGATTGATTTCATTTACTACTTCCATTCGCTTTCTCAAAATATACTCTTCGACCTTCGGAGTCTGCGCTTTGATGCTCTACCTCTGAGCCATCGAGACTCTTTAAAGAGGATCTGGGGTATCACGAGGTTCGTATCTAGCACACGTTCTAAATACTGCTAGGATCATCAATGTCGAAATGTTCCCATATGTAAATAACTTAAAACGGTAAATTTCGAGCTCGGTAAAGATTTGGAGAAAGATGTTTCATCGTCCTATCTCACCTGGGTGAGACAAAGAAACATTTCTGAGTCCCCGAGGGAATCTAACCACAGACCTTCGGATTCATCAGATCAACGGATATTTCACTGACGATGTCAAATACTGAATCATGAAACAAGTAGATCTTTTCTTACCAGCTCTCTGAATGTTTCACAAGTTTTAGCTTTGCCTTATATATCATCAGTAACGTTCCTTTGACACCCGGCGGCTATAATATGTCTCGAAATGCAAAATGATAACAACTTTGAATTTTACGTAACGGCTTTATTCAATGCCAAACTATATACAAGCTTTCGTTAGTTAGTTTAGAAATCATTATCACTGTCATTAAGACTGTTCGCCTGAGAACCGTCGTCCCGTCCTTCCCCACGGCCATCATCCATGTCGTCATCATCGAGAAGTTCGTCGTCATCGTCATCAACTCCAATGTCGCTCTCTCCTGAAGAAAGTGAACCACTTTCATCCTGAAGAAATCATTAAAAAACCCAATCATTTACCAAAGGGACGACGTTGTACTTCAGCCGATGTAAACTGAAGGTTAAGAAATTGTCAGAGAAGGCTCGAAGTGACAAACAATCTTGCCGGTTCGAGCTATGCATGCAAAGTTCATGTCAAAAAAACAACAACAAAAAGATCTCACCTCATCTGAGTCAAGCCCTCCTCCCATGGAACCGAAGACTCGGCTACCAGCCTCGGCAGCTGAAGGCAACAAAACAAACAGTTATTTAGACGTAATATATACACTGTAACCCTGTGGTACACATCGGGGCGTGAGTAACTCCCTTTCTCTCGCGCTTAGTGTACAGCTGACGTCAGTTCCATGTTTTCCCGCGCCTAAAGTCGTTACGTTATGTTACGTGTTTGACACCTATTGCATAATCTTCTGAGTTTTGATTGGTTAATTGGGAAATTTACGTTACCAGTAACAGTCATTCACCTTGTGGTCTGGTAGCCTGTCGTGCATTATTCGCCTCGACAACAATTTCATCTTCGTCGTCCCCGACATCATCCAAATCTCCCAGTTCATTTCCGGCGTCAATCCCTCGGCTATGGTCTGTAGTTTGCATGTTCCTGATCGTTGCTTCTGACTCCTAAAAGATAGTGACGATTAAAAATAAACCAAACAAACAAACAGAAAAATTCATGTGAAAGTGTAGTGTGATCGTTCGGGTGAGTGTAGTCCTGAGAAGGACTGTTGTCGGTGGTAGTGACTGACGTTTCGACAACCTGTGCGGAAGTCGTGTAAAATGATTGGTCAGTTTTGCCATGATTTTATTGGCTGTAAGACGCTAGTGGCGTAAGTTGGTCATGATTGGTCTGTTTCGATCCCTCGGTAAAGTTAGGTCGTTCTGTTCGATTCGTTTGTAATGTTATGTCGTGAACGAGTCGTTTGTATGGAGCCGGTAATAGTCGAAACCTGTTGAGGAGAGTCTGTTCTAAGTTAGTTAACCAGCTTTCCAGAGTCTGTCGTTGAAAGTAGTCAGTGCTGTAGGTTAGGCATTGCGCAGAGTCCCAGGCAATATTGTGGTTCGTAAGTCGGTGATGTTCAGCAATGTGACTATTGAAATTACCTTTCCTCGTCGACCCCCCGGTTCAAGCCATTTACTGCAGAAAAATTCATGGGCACATTCCGATCTCCTAACTAACATCCTAAGAATTGTATGATAGAGAGTAACGATAATTACTAAAGCAAAGGAGATTTTAAGATTGAATGGATTAATTGGCTATTCCAACTGACAAATGATCTTCTAATCGGAACAAAGATTTCCTAGTTTGATCAATCAAAAGCAAATTAAAATGCTAGCCGACTATTATAATTTGGTTCCCTCCAGGCTCCTTAGCATTACAGATGAGGAATTCCTTGGGCCTAAAATCAGAAAGTTTATAGTCTTTCTTGCCACTATTTGTTAAATTTTTTTTTCACCTCAAATCTGTCTCTCTCCGCTCTGTTAATGTCTTCCAGTAGTTGCTCCATGTAAGCTAAATTGCGATGCTTTTCCATGAAAGTCTGAAATGAATTTTTTTTTTTCATTTAAAATTGTAGTCATGTTTCTTTACATTAAAAATTGTAAATCACATTTCTTTACAGGAAAGTAGAACCCTCTAAAATTTGCCTCACTATAAACATGCAGCTTTGAAGCTCAGTTGGTAGTATCTGAGAGGCACGGGTTCATTATCCTGTCCAAGCCTGAATTGTTGCAGGCTTTCCTTTGTGATTCCTGCGAGGATAATGCCTTTGCTTAAAGATCACACAGTAGATGTCAAACCAGACAACACTAAGCTTCTGAATATGGGGAACTCACTGTAGGTAATTAGTATTGCTTCATCGATTCATTTTGCTAAATAGTAATCTTAGTTTGGAAGGTAAAGGAGTGGTTATATTCTAGCAACAAACTTGCCAACAATCAAGAGCATGATGATCACCTCATACACTTTTTTGAGTTCCTCTTCAAGTTTTTCATACTCATCCATGTATGCTGGCCTACAGAGATTGGAAAAGAGAAAATATTTACAAAAAAAGCATTTTCTTCATTAAATAATCTATCAGCCTGCCAAGAGATTGCAGGAAATATATGACCATATGTTTAATGTTCTGGTTAACTGATTAAAAGCCTACGGTAACTATGGAACATGAACTTACAAAAGAAAAATCATAATAAGACTTTGACTAAATACAAAATTTCTCTGAATGGTTTATGGTGCACTCTCCCTACCAACCAGATAACAAGTTTGTTCTTGTAATCTTGGGTATCTTTCCTGGTTTTTATTTCATCTATGGTTTTTTTAAATTTTCTTTTTTTTTGTTTTTTTTTTGTTTAAGCACTTTATCAGACAATTTACAATACCATATCCACATTGAACTAAGTACAAGTGAAATTCAAACCAGGGATAACACTGAACCCAACTATAGGCCTCAAAGAAGAAAGGTTTAAAACATGAAAAAAGACAGCAAAGAAAACTGCATACAGGCTTCATCATCTAAAAATCTGATCCTCACATGGACTGACCAAATCTTTAAAATTAGAAAACATACAACTGTACCTGACAGTCTCTAAACTTCGCAATCTTTTCTGGTTCCTCTCCAGTTCTTGTTTTTTCTTGTCTATTTTAGCTTCCAGGTTAGCTTCATCAGAGGCAATATTGTCCAACATTTGATTAGTTTTCTTTATGTCATCCTTCAATGGGAATGGAAGTAATTAATTTTTGAGTTTCATTTATTTCCCCTAATAAGGGGCGGATCCAATAATTTTTGATTGGGGGGTCCAAACTTTAGTTCAGAAAGGACTGTTGGACTCTTTTGAGGCAAATTACTTCTCCCCCACACCCCCTCCCACCAGTCGCAGTTGCATATTATAGTTCCTTGGTCGCTTACAGTTTACATGGATTCATTAAAAAGATCAGCCAGTTAAAAAGTGACATACGATCCTGTCGATGTAAGAATTTCAATTTCAAAGTTGTAAGCGTCAGGTCTGATAAGAGGGGGGGGGGGGGGGGGTTCCAGACCCTCCCCCTCGATCCGCCTCTGCTAATAAGTGCCCAGATGCTGATCTAAAATTTTAGCTGAAAGGGGGGCTGCTTATTGGAAGGAAGGCACTTAATCGAGGGGAGTACTAATTATTCTCTTGTACTGACTCTGCTAGTTGAAGCTTAAAATGTCATAAATAAAGTTACTAGTCATGTGAATGGGCTCCAGAAAGCACTGTGTGGATGGCTGATCACTTCCTCCCCCCAAAACATACACTGAACCTCCACACTCCAAAATCCTATCCTCCAAGAGTATGCATTCAGTTTTCCAATAATTTCACTAAAAAATGCTTTCTCAAAATAGGGCAAAATTAAATTGAAATACAGTGTAACCAAGTAGAAAACAACCCAATCATATGATTATTTTTGTTTTCACTATCATCTTTCCCAAAAATAGGAGAACATACATGTATGTAGAAACAGGTGCACCTTCCATAAGCTTGTAAAAATGTTTTTAATTTTCTTAACTTTCAAAAAATACCTTGGGAGTAATTCTCAGTTAGGCAGGATTCGTATTTAGTTGAATAATGCCTCACAAAGCTAAAAAACAGGGAAAAGCACACTACATGACCTCTAATTCATCACCTTAACAGTAGCAACACTCTTCTTGATACCGCTTTCCAGCTCATTTAGTTCAAGAGGCTTGGCTATGGCATTTGTTCTTAGTTCCTGATATAGAAACAAAGCCAAGTAAACCTAGGTATTGTTTAAGTTTAAGTTTAATTAATTCGCCATAGGAATGGCAGGAGAAAGGAACAGAACTTTTGTTCCAATTGACACCTAACCCCCTTTTAACCAACCATCCCACCCCAGGGAGGGCATCCATCACACAGTAATCTCGTGTGTGGGAAATTAACGTCTCCTACCCCAACCCTACAGGAGACGGGACCTCCATTTATCGTCCCTATCCGAGAAGACTAAAAAGTCTAACCATTTGCAGATATTATTACAAAGGCAGCACTTTCTTCTCAGTTAATTAAAGACCCTGAGTGTTGGTCCGGCTGGATTTGAACTCACGACCTCCCACACAACAGTCCGGCACTCTACCAATTGAGCTAACTGGGAGGCGGTTGTAGTTATCATAATGGAGAAATCAAGCAAAAGGGACCTTGAATGATTATTTACCAGAAGAGATTATGATCTTTAAAATTTTGAGAGTTCTTGAAAGTTAAACTGGGAAGACCCTTACCACTATTATAAGATCTAAATCAAAATCCTTATTAGATTCTGAGAACACTGTTCCTATCTCTGATCCTAAAAAGATCAAATATTCACAGTTGCAGATACCCTCACAGCAGTTCAATCTTAAGATTTAACCATTAGTAAGGGTATATCTGAGGGACTGGCAGATCAAGTTGCCTACTGTTTCAAGCCAATAACTAAACTTAATGATAAGATACCCCAGAAACAGAATAACAGACTCACCCTTAATTCCACTTCTTTGCCTAGCAAATCATAAAGAGCAGCTCCCCTTGATGTTATCTCAGATGCAAGCTGACGAGATGCCTTTAAATCACTAATCTGAAAACAAATATGAAGGGTTCTCAAGCCGACCCATGCATGTAATGCTTGGTCAACAGGACAAAACATAGTTGGCCTTCAACATCATTTAATCTGTTACCCATCCTTGTTTAACGTTACATATTTGTTTCAAGTTTAAAAGTTGCTATGGTTGTTTAAATGATAGATAATTGTACCCTATAGATCATCAACAAAATAACTTAATTCTATCCATTGGATTTCTATGTCTTAATAAGCTGAATCATCCACATAATTTGATTGGTTCTTCTTCATAACCCGGCTAGTGAAGGACAGACTCATAGATGGCACTACCATTTATAACTTTTTGCTCCATCATTAAGTAAACTATATAAAACAAATAGATTCCACATCACCATGGTTCTGTACAACTTACAGTAGACCACAGATGACATCAAATAATATAAGAACATCAGTTACACACTTGGCTGTGTCTTGTGAGCTACTACAGTAACTTTTTCTTTGTTTTCACGTCATCTGTGATACATCACTGAACAGACACACAGAAAGGTGGAAGCTACGTGTTTAAGAGTTAACAAAATGTATCACGCCATCATTTCATCAGATAGCAATTTTCTTGCCCAAAGTACTTTCCATCTCTCACACTTGAGTCTAGTAAACTCCAAACTCTGGTCACTTACTCTTGATGATATATCAAATGTCAAGGAATTCACATTGGACTCTTCAGCAGCCTAAAAATTAGAAACAAATTTTTACACATTTGCTTTTAAAATAACATCTTAAACTATACATCGTTTTCTTTTGGAAAAGGGCTGACTGTTTACATTGTATTTACTAAAAGACTGATGTCATTATTTACTGCTGAAACAAGGGGAAGAATTTGAAACAGAAACAACAACCACATCGCCCAAACCTCACTAACCTCTTTAAACCTAGATGCATTATTTGCAGAGGCTACATAAAGTTGGTGCAAAAATTAGAGTTACATAATATAAGTATCTTCAATTTTAGGTTTACCTCATTTCCAGTATTAGTTTTCATAGCACTGTACAGGACAGATGTGACTTTCAGTAATTCCTTTACAGCATATCCATCTGCCCCATATAGCTTCTTGGTGTTCAGCTTTATATGTGCTTTAGTTGCCTAATATTGGATGAGAAATAGATTCAGGTGAACTTTTGTGAGCAGTATAATTTGGATTTATTAAAAACTGGATCATTGGATAATGCAATTCAAGACTTTTTATTGGCTTAGCCATTATGGTATATGAGCCAATATACCATAATCTAATATCTGTACATTGTAACATCCGGTTTCTTCTTACAAAATAAAGTCGAGAAGATTTGTCTAATATCTTGGGGGCGTTTTTTTTAATAAAACAATTATTATATGGCTGTGTCTCACAAGGACTGGTAACTACCGAATTCATGAATTTGATT